CAGCTGAATTAGCTGATGCTGATGATAAAATTCTGATTTTAAACCCCGAGGGTTTAGCGAGGCAATGGACTCACTAGTGAGCCTGGCCAGGACACCACTGATCTAAGATCAGTTTGTTGACCAGTCTCTTGAGACCGAAAGATATAGCGGTAACTGAGAGATAAGCAAAGGAATAAATGTTACTATTATAGCAATGATGTACTTATGAATAAAGTACTTGCAATTCTACAGCTGACAGTGTTTCCTCTACAACGAAGCATCGTGTACGTTTACGGAAACATTTCGTGAGCAAGCCTTTGATTTCGCTCACAATGAAAAAGCACTTCACGTGGCCTAAAATGAATGAAACTGTCTCCGATCATGTGCAGCATTGCCAAGTCTATCAGTTAACAGCTAAGCCTGCCCACGTACCTCCACCTGCTCCTCTCATTCTTATCTCCCTATCTCACATTTCATAATACATTATATTGGTCCTCTACCTAGAACCAAGCTACGAAACTAATACTTGCTCACTAGTAAGGATGCAGCGACACGTTATTCCGAAGCTATTCCCATGAGAAAAATTAATGCCCGTACTATTGTCAGAGCACTAATGAGATATTTCTCATAAGTTGGATTGCTACGAGAGATTTAGTCGGACCAAGGATCCAACTTTACATCTAAAATCTTTTGTGGGGCATTATCCCACTTGGGAATTAGGTCTGTGCTTTCTACCAGTTATCACCAGGGTTTATTGTGAACATTTTTCTAGAGACGGAGGAAGAGATACTTTCTCTTCTGTTTGCTATGAGAGAAAGTGAACAATAAAGCCTCGGTTTTAGCCCTTTTGAATTAATATTCGGCCAGCAGGTGCGTGGTCCACTCACTGTATTAAAAAAACATGTGAACAGGAAAGTCAAATCCATCACTGAGGACGTCACCTTTATTAATGCAACACCATTTGAAAACTGCTAGAGAACTAGCAGCGAAAAACTTATTTGCTGCTCAAGCTAGAATGAAACAGCGATATGAAAAGTATGCAGGTGCTAAGATGATGGCTCTGAAATTAGTACCAGGTCATGGTCAATAAGCCAGGTGTGGAAAATTGCATTTATCTGAATGTAACTAATTATGTACATAACAGTAAATGATAGCAAAGATAATTACTATTTATCAATGTTGCATAGACAAGTAGGAATTTGGGACACCTAGGTCGCAAAATATGTCCCCCTTCGATACCTACCACTGTCATATCCACAAGTTGCTCTGGACCTATTAATTACCAATGAAATATGTATAACCAGGAATACTGGTAAATATATAAATTTTGTGGGCTGTATATTAAAATAATAAATGGTTATATATATACACAATTACATAACAGAAGGAAAATATATCTTAATATCACTCACCAATTTGACTGGAGATTAATGTGTATCATACTCAGAAAACCTCACTCTAACTAAATCTATAAAAATAATGCTGGCCAGAATTACACACAAATCTAGAGAGCTTATCTGAGGTTCCTGGAGCTGTCTTGTTCAGTCGTCTGATATCTCAAGTTATGCAGGAATGCACATCCACCAGTTTCGCCTCCTATTTGAGAGGTGTTAACACAATTTTAACCTCTAGAGCACGAAAAATTCTTCCCATTACACCAACGTTTGTACAAAATTCAAAACCAAGATGGCGAGTCTCCTGTCTGCCCAGACGCAGGCTTTCCGTTTTCTATGACATAAATATTATTAAATACAGTATGGCCATCTATGTACATATAAATACTGAATTTCTGGAAAGTATATACAGTATTTTCCACACCAGGTATGCTGGCTCCCCCTGGAAGTAGTCAAAAAACTTAGCAGCGTAAATTATTTAGTATGCACGTCTGGGAAAAAAAAAATCTGATCATATGTACCACATTAATAAACTCAAGGTTTACTACTGAAGTCGGAGTAACTACTATACTTCCTAGGACAGATCGTGTCAGTCTGTCTGACGTCTCTAGAAGTATAGAGGTACGTTTCAAAATTCCGTTATAATACAGTCACTTGATAATTTTCTTAGTAACCTTGATGCAGATGAAGCGAGTGACATTAAACACATGATACTTGAATACCCTTGTTTGTCCAGTGATGTTCCTAAACGCTGTACTCTTGATGTACATGATGATGTACAGGGTGCATTCCCTATTAAACAATCTCCTTATAGGATGAGTCCTCCGAAGCACAAAACACCGAGGAAAGTAGACTTTCTGTCATCACATGGATTGATAGAACGAAGTATAAGCCCTTGGGCTTCGCATTGCATTTTAGTATTCAAAACTGACGGGAGTTTTAGATGTGTACTAATTATCATAAGGTGAATGCCAGATGGATACCCCCTCCCATGCATTGATGGCCATATTGATCGTGTGTCGGGAGCTTTGTATGTTAGCCGTTTAGATCTCCTTCATAGGATATTATCAAGTTTCTGTCTTCACTGTTCATGATGGGCTGTTCAACTATTTCATCACACCCTTCGATTTATGCAACACAGCCTCGTCAATAAAAATGGTTATAGGTCTGGTAGCTGTGAATACTCTCGGGAGGCGGCGTCTCTGCTGTATTGGGTTCTTGATACAGGCAGTGTGTCTAGGCTTGCTCTGGGGGCAAGACCCCCAAGTCTAGCGAGGAAAAGTGAGGAGGCATTTGTTGCTGTCAGCTGTCTGTTAGGGTAGTGAAAGCAACGCAGGGTATTGTGGGGTGATCTGAAGGTAAGCCTATGGCCACAAGGCGGGAGCACAGGTCTATGGGCACAGCTCTTCTATCGGTAGTAATGTAGTAATAGGAAACAGGTATGGAGTAGGCATACCCAGCTACACCAGTGTCTGATGCACTAGCTGACCTACAACTTAGATGGAGCTGAAGTAAACCTGAAGGGCTTAGTGGTTTATAGTAAGGACTGAGAACATCACCTGACATACCTCAACATTGTTTGAGAGATTGGCACACTACAACTTCACCGTGAACTTAGCTAAGTGTAGTTTTGGGCAATCCAGCATGACCTACCTCGGTTTTCGCTTAAGTCCAGGGTGAGGGTACTCCCGTTGATGCAAGGTTCGTGCTATTTCAACCTATCCAGTACAACAAACTAGGGAGTCAAGGGATTTCTTGGTATGACTGGTTATTACCGCAGGTCCTGCCCTAACTTCTCTCAGATCGCTGCTCCTCTTACTGAGCTCCCTAACACCAATGTTAGATTTCGTTGGACTCATGATTTCGAATTGGCGTTGGTACAGTTGAAGTGCTTGGTTTCCTCTGCTCTTATTCTTCGGATCCCTAACTTCAGCAAACTTTTCTTACATATAGATGCGAGAGATTATGAAGTGGGTACTGTGCTTCTGCAGAAGTCGGCAGCCACTGACACACTCCATCCTATTTTGCTTTTCCTCCAAACTATACTTGGGCACATCTCCATTCAAAATTACAGTATTTTCCTACCACAACGTTATCACCTTTATCAATACTATGAAATAAAAAAAATGGCAGGATAACGAGATGGACTTTCCGTATCTAGCCTTTTGCTATTAGTATTAGTCACATCAGTGGTCGTTGTAATGTTATACCTGATTCTCATGTCCTCGACTTGTAATTGAAATTAAAATTGACGTAATTTTGTGTCCAGATACTTTTTTGCTTATTACTTTACTTTGTTACTATTGTTAAATTCAGTAGAGTAACTTATGTAGACTAGGTTAATGTATATAAACCATTATTAACGTATAATTCGATAACAATGACGGAAAAAACAAGCAGCTTAAGTTTGTCATTGAGGATCATACTGCGTTATGTCGAGCGTTTGTTGTCTGTTGACAAGATGGAGGATGAGTTGCAGTGACTATTGACTGACCATCTGTGTTTCGCTGTAAACAGTGTTATTGCTTTGATCATAGGGAAACGCTAAACCCGTAGGATTCTTACAGAATCCGGAGAATGGCAGGTACCAATCAAGTTTAATCTAAGAAAAGTAAGGGCAGCTTAAATTCATCGAATCAAAAAAATTTCACCAGCGTCAATGTATCCATCTTGAATGGATTTCAGTTAGTATTACGGGGGGATTCCTCATAGGCATATAAATGTATTTCGTTTTTCTTTAAATCATATTAATATCATTTGCATAGAAAAAGCTTAATTTTGGTAGCAGGTGTCCTCCTGAGCTGACCCCTGGTCTATTATGGCTAAAATCTCAGAGATTATCAGAGGTTTTTCAAGCTGTAGCAAGATTAACCACCAAACTCCAAGATAAATGCTTGATTTCACTTGGGTTCCCTGATACGTCAGATTAACCCAAGATTTCACACGTCTATTTTGCTGCTCAGGTAAGGTATGATTTGTCAGGAAATAGGACAAGTGTTTCCTGATGAGGATCTTAGTCATATGATGACTCGCCGCTAGAGCTTTTGGTCATCTGACTGAAGCCTTCATCTAGCTTGCCGATCCACCCCTTTAAGGGAGCATTTGGTCAGAATTTTAACGACCTTTTTTTTTATGGACAGATTACGTTCATTTTTGGTGTACTATTAGAAGGTTATATCGAGTATGCTGTGCTGAAGTTTCAATCATATCGGCCAAAAAGGAAATGAAATATGCAAAATTTACGAAAAATTGCATTTGGCAGGGCACAGTTTGTCAGTGGTACTTGGACAAGTGGTTTTGACACTTGCTCCTTGCACCCGCCCATGGCCCATGAGAGCAGTGAGTCCAGCACAGGTAAGTTAGTGTTCCCTGCTGCCGTGGTTCAGTACTGGGCGCTCTGCTCTCCCTACCTTAACGTGTCTTTTAGATACATGAAGGTACAAGACACTTAGACATACCGTCTTGTTACACTATCCATGATGGCGGAACCACTGAACGGAACATCTTATAACAAAGACATGTCAAGATTTTTGTCCTGGCGAACAAACCAAGAACAGCGTGTTTCTGTGGGAGAGAGAGAGAGTGAATGAATAAATGATAATAAGACTGTGAGCAAACTAACGAACACTAGTGCGAGAGAGTGGGTGTCTAGCCAGGTTCATCACTCGACAGAGGACAGTCCAATGCCTCCTCTTGGTGATGACGGGTCCAGCCTGGGGTACACAGGGGTGCAGTGGTTCAACACTGCAGTGGTACGGTGATAGTGCACTGGTAGTTTTACATCGTTATGGTACTTGTATTACAGTAACAAATACTCGTACACGTACAATATACTGGATTAATACGGTAGTTTAAGAGAGATGTAGAAGCATTGTGATAAAGTGGAACTGTAATATAGTGGGATTTTTGTACAGTGGAGCAATTATATAGTGAACCTGTAATGAATTTAATTTGTTATGAAGTGTAACAGTTGTTATAAATTAGAAAACTTGTACATAGATTCAATGGTTTTGTTATACACTGGTATAGATATACACTGATGCATTGGTTTTGTTATACAGTGGAACAGTTTATAGAACTAATTTATAGCGCAAAGACCAGATTCTATATAAAATTTAGCCTGAAATCCTTATCTTCCAGAGGCAAAATTCAGGCATGGATTTAAATGTGTAAGACATAATATCTGGGGTACGGCTGGAGAGGAACCCTTGCAGCTGTAGCCACACACACACACACACACACACACACACACACACACACACACACACACACACACACACACACACACACATACACACACACACACACACACACACACACACACACACACACACACACACACAGGTATGATAAAGCTCATGGTTCAGGGAGAGTGACCCAGTAGCGACCAGAGAAGAGGCGGGGCCAGGAGCCAAGAATCGACCCCTGCAACCACAACTAGGTGAGGTGAGTACACACACATACACACAGGAGCTTAGTCTCGACCCCTGCAACTACAATTAAGTGAGTACACACATACACACACCTTCAGTCTGTTCTGAGTTCATTCCCGGTTATTTTTTTAAATACTGCGCCAACCAGGTGTCTTTTCCTTGGAGGAACTCCTAATACAGGACATCTAAGGCACAGACTAGGTAGACAAAATCATACTTTACCAGGAAGGATCAAGCAGAAGGCAACCGTCCCAAAGACGTCAGGAAACATTTCTTCAGTGCAAGAACAGAGAGAAAATGAAACGAACCAGACATGGACACAGTAGGTGGCTCAATACAGAAGTTTAATCATAAATACAACATTAGTGATTCGAATTAATTAACCGAAAGTCAGAAGGCGAAACTAAGTCATAACTAACCCTCCACGTCGCTAAACACCCCATCACCCACAAACTGAAATCTTATCAAAAATGCTTGATATTCACATTTGAAGTATTAGAGATAACAGGTATTTAAAATTCAAAAGACTGGGGACTACACATGCAGAACAAGGTTGGCGAGAAACTAAACTGGAAATTTAGTGATGGAGCTTATAAAAACAGTTTTGCAAACCAAGAGGAGCTGGGGAACTTTGTAAGAGTAAAAGAAGAGGTACTGTAGCATCCTGAAGAACTCAGCAAATTCTGCAAGGATGAAAAGGTATCACTGGGAACACAACAAACTTTTCTACACCTATGACACTTGTTCATATAGCAGTAAATAAATACCTGGGTGATAGTCGACTGTTATGAGCGGCATCCTGGGAGGGTGGCAGTATACCATACAAGATGGACCGGTAAACCAACAGAAGGCTTTTGTCAAATGAGCAAAAGTTCCACTGTGTATGTCACCATGTGACTAAGACCTTCTTCGGGATAAATTTTCTTATTTGCTCTTACAAACAAAATTACCCCATCGATAATCACTATAAGTACGGCGAGCAAACCTGTCTGGCAGGATGTACAAGAATTCCCTTGAGATTGACGTACCAGACTACTGGAAAACTTCCGATGTGCCGATCTATACAAAAGTGACAGATAAACGGTTCTAAACCGTTTAAAGTGATGGAAAAGATAACGCGAAGACTGAGGGAAGATCTAGGAAGGAGAGCCGTAGCAAAACATTAACAGAAATTCTGTCTAACGAACTTAATGAAACTTTACGAAAGGAGGACGGAAATAAACATTAAAGAAAAAAAAAATTTTCTTAGACTGACAGAAAGCATTTGCCAATATACAATACTAGAGATCGCTCTATAAGGTATGAAGTGTCTCGATAGTTTATGAGTACCTGAAAGAGATTAGGCAGGATCATGGTGAGGAGGGAAGCATGCAGCGGTCCTCCATCCTTATGTTCTGATGCTAAATTATTTAAGACGATGTAAGCCACACTTGCCAGGGCAGTCTTCGAGTATACGTTACCGGCTTGGAGCCCACACCTAAATCATAGTGAAACTCAACAAGATTAAAATTTTCCAACTGGTGGCAGAACTGAGACGTTATCATGAAATGCAAGATAATCAGGGACATTGATAGGGTAAATAAGGACAGAATATTCGGCTTATAAGGAACCAAAGCAAGAAGGCATAGATAACAAGTGAACTGTCATATAAGCCAAAAGGACGGAAAGAAAGATATGAGCGTAAAGGTTGGAAAAACAAGTAAAATGAACGAGGTTACGAGGGAAGAAGACTCCTGACATAAAGTTAAAACAAGATATAAGACAACAAAGGGTCTGGAATCAATTACTCAGATCGATAAAATGTTAGGGGGCGAGGGGAAAGAGCTGGAGTTCGAACCCTTAAGGCATAATTCGGTCAGTATGTAAACATACATAACTGCAAAGTTCGGTCACTCGCATGCACATATAGGTGAGTTTGGAGATGAGCACTAACAACAATACTTAAACTTTCATTTACGACATTATATGCGATATATGTCAGGTTCATATTGGAGTATGTAGCACCAGCATGGAATCCGCGCCTAATAAAATTTTTCAAGAAACTGGAGAAGTTAGAGGTTTGCAACGAGGAGAGTCCCGAGGTATGAGCTATGAGGAGAGACTAGAGGAGATAAAACTGATGACATTAGAGGACAGAAAGACTAGAAGTGATATAACAACAATGTACAAAATACTAGCTGGACAGGGATAGACTGTTTGAGTGACTGGAAGCAGGAGCACAATGGCACAGCTAAAAACTGAAAACATAATGAGCCACAGGGATATTGAGAAGTATTCCAACAGGCTTAGAGTGATCAGGAAGTGGAACTACCTAGAAAGTGAAGTGGTAGAGGCAGGATCCAAACACAGTTTAGGAAAAGGTACGATAAGGCTAGCGACCAGAACGGGTCAGGAGCTGAGACTCGACCCCTGCAATCAAATATATTTGGGTATATATAAGTGAGTTTACGCACAAAGACGAGTACTGGAAACGATCCCAGGAACGTACGCAGGAAAAAGGCGGTTTTTCATAATGAACAAAAAAATTACGAGCAGTATCTGACGCCCTGTGGAAACTAGTGTACAGTCTGTTGGTAAATGATATACAGTAGTGTATTAAAATACAGCGGTCAAGGAGAGTGATGGAAGCAGAAAGCATGTAGCGAGCACGACACAGAATGCGAATAAGACCAGTGTACCTGGCACTTCAGGGCACAGAATAAATACAAACACCGACACCGAGTATTTGATATATGAAAAATCAGCACGGTTTTAAATTAGATAAATTTAGATTTAGAAAGGATGTACTGGTTTTCAGAGTTGTCGATGCATGGAACAATCTGCTGAGTAGGGTCATAGAGGCTAAGACCTTGGGTAGCTTTAAAAAATAGATTGGATAAACATATGATTGAAAAGGGTTGGGTTTGATTAGTACCTGAGGTACTGAAGCAAATTATTGGGTAGCTTAGGGAAAAAGACTGGACAGATACGTGGACCTTGTTTGACTGGTGACGTGGACCTTGCTCTTGTGAATACACAGTGGTGATGTAGACTTTGCTCCTGTGAATATGTGTCTAGTGTGCTCTCTGTTAAACTGAACCAAGATCTTGTCCTCTACTGAGCAACTCTACCAGCAGCTTAAGGAGGAGCTGATGGTGGCTAAGCTCGAGATACGGTGATTGACTGAGGAAAAGCAAGAGGATTCGTAGTGATTCTCCTGTTGTGACTCCTCAGGTCAAGAAAGGAACCAGGACAGCACTGAACGAATCTGAGGATCAAGAGGACTGATGGAGAGACAAAAACGATGAAGAACGAAGAGACTGCTGTGGAAACTTCGAACCTATTCTCCGTGCTACCCGACGAATATGTGTCGACTACTGGAAACGTCACGATGAACACCAAGGAAGGTAAAAAGATTGTGCTTGTTGGGGAAAGTCAGATTAAGTACATGGATAGGGCCTTCTGCTTGAAGGATAGGAGTAGGAGACAGGGGCTGGGATGGAGGATATTGTTAGTCGGCTTGACAAATCCATGAATGATAATGAGATCAATTCTATTATCTACCTCAGTGCTGAAGGCAGTGATGTAGGCAAGCATAGAAGTGAGGATTTGGTTAGAAAGTATAGGAGAGCAATAGATATAATTAGGAAGAAGGGGGGCGTCTTGTTATATGCTGCATTTTGCCAAGAAGGGGTGTTAGAAATGAATAAATGTCCAGAACAATTGGTATTAACTGTTGGCTAGACAAACATTGTAAAGATAAAGAAATGGTATGGTAATACCGACAAGATGTGGAAAAAGACATGTATAGCTCAGGACATTTATTAAAGGAAATTTTTTTGCCACGAGTGGCTTTCTTCATTCCTAATACGGAGATATCTAAGAAAAGGAGTATATATAGTGGCGGGAGTCAGGTGGAGTGTTGCATGGGTTGAGGTAGTAGTTGTGACACTAATATGGTGAAACGGGTTGGCATCATGTCACAGCGGTCTCCAGAATGGGTAATATCCTGTTGATTAGTAATTTTGAGATACTGTAACCACCTGACTTTTGATGGATAGTGTTACTGACAGCAATTAGGGTAGCTTCTATGAACTTTCGCATAGAAACTGCGAAAGGGGCAGCTTCTATGCACTTTCGCATAGAAGCTGTGAAAGTGCATGGAAGTTACACTCGGATCATGGTACAACACCTAGCTCTGCTGGGTGTGTGATTCTTGTAGGATTGTATGGTCCCATGGGTTAGACTTAGAGCATCATGGAATTTTCGCTCACCATGAGGTGGGCTAAAACAACACGGGTTCAATCCCTCGGCTAGTTGCAGTGTTGTTATTGATTAAA